GAAAATTGTGTAGAGTATGAGGATCAAGTACAGTTGTGTCAAATACTCTTTTCTGGTTTGATTTAAATATGTATGATATACTGAGGCAATATTTCGTCAATTAATCAAAGTAACGAACTTGTCTGCACCTTAGAAGTGTGTAAGTCCTATTACTCATTAGTATTATGAATGAATAATTGGTAAAAGGAAAGATTGCAGTCACCCCTCGTGGTCTGATGTGGCCTAATGGCTAGGTACGCGGTCTAGCATTCAGAAGGGCTGAGGTTCGAGTGCGTGTGGGTCATGCGTTTTTGTTCATCGAAACCCCCTTCAATACGATGTTTGTTGGCCATAAGTTGCTCAGATATGAGAGAAAAATAACAGGAGGACTGGTTGATATATCAGAATGCCATATTGGAACAGTACACGTTCTTTGTTTGGATTACTAATAATACTATAGAGAAAAAAAAATCTACAAGTTTTGTGATTTCCATTTTACGTTATACTTAAACCGAGAGAAAAAGTATATATATATATAAAAGTTACTGACATAACATGTCTTTTTTATAACGCTAGTGTTGAGTTCCAGGGTTTTGTCAGGGCCACTAATAATAATTGGTTTAACGTTAACATAGCTATGATAGTCATATCGTTAGTTCAATGTTATGATTACTTAAGAGTTCCTTTATAAGTTGTGTTTAAAATTAGGTATGCGGAATCAATGCGGCTAACATAGTAACCTTACAGTAACGCACTGTACTATATTTCCACGGTTATTGATTCTTAAATGTCAGAATTTTAAAAAAAAAATCTGAATATTGCCAATAAAGATGGGTTATATGATCACACTAAAAAGCATGCTGCAGGAAAACTGGTTAAGTCATTACATAAGTTTCCTAAACATGAAAAAAAATTATGAGAACTTTAATAAGTACTTGGCCATGGTTTAATCCAAAATGTTTTGTCTAGAAAACCACTTATTAATAGTAGTATTAATCGTATCAAGCTACTAAACATATCTTCGACCGAAAACTTTTAGAAGTAGTTCATATGGTATATATGTATAGCCAGTCTGCGTGAAAAATGTATATAGATATATAATAAGTACAGCCAACATAGTTAATTAACCAGAAAAGAAATTATAAAACTCGCCTGGGTTGCTTTTTGATATCGTTGTATTTGCCAGTGTTAGTTGTATGAGTTTGATTAAAATCCTCAGCCATCGTTTCGGAATACCTAGCTTATGTGTCCAGTATTAAAAAAAAATATTTAACATAATACTTATATATTAAAGGTAAAAGGTCTGGGGAGTTGTAGGTGAGGCGGAATGAGGAAAAATAATTATTTCTAAGTAGATGCAGGGTCTGATTAGCTACGTGGTTAGATTTTATCCTGCAGCCGAAACTGTCAACATCCTTGACTGACTAATTGGATGTGCCCAGCGGACCGTTTTAGTCATTTGTAAAGATTTATCATCTTTACATTTCGATTCCGTAATGGATTTGTCAGTTATACGATCTAACAATACGTATGGTGGTTCATGATCTAGATAAGCCGGTTTTAGCCTATCAATACTTATTGTGTCGATGTTTCCATGTTTTTCTATCACGAAATATTTAGATTTTCTTGAGACGACTTTGAAAGGACCTTCAAATGGAGGACTGAGTGGTGATTTTATTTTATCACATCTTATCCAGACGTGCGTGCAATTGCTTAGGTCTTTAGGTACATATACGGCGCGCGATTGTTCGCGAGTATTAATTGGTTTAAGTTTGGACATATGGTCCCGTAGTTGATCTACGTAATTTTCTAAATTAAGTTTTTGACTGTTAGTATTAGGGTTAATAAATTCACCTGGTAGTCTCAGAGTTGTTCCGAAAACCAGTTCCGCAGCTGAACATTGTGCGTCAGTTTTGACAGATGTTCGTATTTCCAACATAACTAAAGGTAGGAATTCTGTCCACTGATTGGGGTTTGAGTGAGATATAAGGGCGGTTTTTAGCTGACGGTGAAAACGTTCTACCATCCCATTAGCCTGAGGATGATATGCAGTGCAGCGTATCCTATTAGAGCCTAGAAGTTTAGCCAAGTTATTAAATAGTTCGGATTCGAATTGCGCTCCTCTATCCGTCGTTATTGTTATGGGTGTACCAAAAATGGTTACCCAGTTCTGCATGAAAGCTTTGGCTACTGTTTCCGCTGTGATGTCCGCTATCGGGATGGCTATAGGGAATCTGGTAAATCGATCTATGCATGTAAAAAGATAATTAAAACCATTTGAACGGGGTAAAGGACCTACCAAGTCGATATGCACATGTGCAAAACGTGCATCTGGTTGCGAGAAAACACCTATGGGTGAATTTGTGTGACGATTAATCTTTGATTGTTGGCATGCTGAACACTCTCTAACCCATTTGTGTACATCCTTCTGTAAATTCGGCCATATATATCTGGCATTGATTAGTTTAGTTGAAGCTTTTGCTCCAGGATGAGACAAAGAATGAAAGTTATTATATATCAACTTTCGCATATTTTTGGGAACGAAAGGTCGCGGCATTGCCTTGGTCGTGTCACAGTAAATTAGAATACCATCGATAGGTGATGGGAACTGTTTTAAATTAAGACTTGAATTGTTTGTTTTGAGTAGGTTTTGTAATTCTAGGTCCTGCTCTTGTTCGTGTCTCAACGTCTCGAAGTTTACTGTAGACTGCTGTACCACGTTCATTTCTAGTCTGGATAAAGCATCTGCCGCCTGATTGTCCTGACCTTTGACATGTCGGATATCGCTTGTGAACTGTGATATATAGTCAAGGTGTCGGACTTCTCGAGGTGAGTACTTATCGGCTCTCGCTTTTAATGCATTCGTCAGTGGTTTGTGATCCGTAAAGACTATAAATTCCCTACCTTCTAACATGTGTCGGAAGTGTTTAATAGTCAGGTAGATTGCAAGAAGTTCTCGTCCGAAGGTAGAATACCTTGTCTCAGCTGGAGCGAGTCTTTTCGAGAAGAAAGCAATTGGTTTCCAGGCGTTTTTAACCAGTTGGTTAAGGGTACCGCCTACTGCTTTATCTGAAGCATCCACCATCAAAGCAAGTGGGGAAAGAGAATTCGGATATATCAACGTAGTTGCTTGAGCCAGTTTATCTTTAAGCTGTTTAATAGCTTCGACGGCGTCAGAAGACAGTTTGAATTCTTTTGGTTTTCCTTTAAGTAAATCTGTTAAAGGTTGCATTAATTGTGCACAACCTGGTATGAATCTGCGATAAAAGTTAATTAGACCTAGAAAACTTCTCATCTGTGTTAGAGAGCTAGGTATCGGGTATTGTTTGATGGTATCCACTTCTTTTTTTATAGGTTTAATCCCTTCTGGGCTTATTGTGTGACCAAGAAATTCTAAAGTTTGAACACCGAAAACACACTTACTTTGATGTATGTTTATTCCATGTTCATTCAATCTTGTCAACACTGCTCGTACATGCTCTTCGTGTGATTGCAAATCGGGGCTGGCAATTAACAAGTCGTCTATATACCCCTGCGCAAATGGCATATCTCGAAGTAGGTTATCTATGAATCTTTGAAATGTCTGTGCCGCATTTCTCAGGCCGAATGGCATGCGTACAAACTCGAATAAACCAAAGGGTGTTGTAATAGCTGTCTTAGGGATATCTTCATCAGCCACCGGGATATTGTGATATGCCCTGACTAAGTCAATTTTAGTGAATATGTTCATACCCTGTAAACCGTTTGTGAAATCTTGGATATGCGGTATTGGGTACCTATCTGGTACGGTTTGACGGTTGAGGGCTCTGTAATCCCCGCACGGTCGCCAGTCACCTTCATTCTTCTTTGGGACCATATGCAAAGGGGATGCCCATTGACTATCAGACGGACGGATAATACCCAGTTGTAGCATATAATCAAACTCGGCTCTAGCGATTTTGAGCTTATCTGGTGCTAGTCTCCTGGGTTTCGCAAACACCGGTGCACCTTCGGTTTTGATAGTGTGACTTACTTTTAGTTTGTCTTTGGAAGGCTGTGGGTTTGGTTTGGTTAAGTTTGGAAATTCCGCGAGTATATCTTGGAATTTCGCTGTTGTTACTGGAGGGGTTTGAATCAAGTTAAGAGAGCTGATGTGACTTTCTTTGCCTTTTGTGTAAAACGAAGTTTCTTTTAGTGTTAATCGCCGTTTCTTGGTGTCAACAAGAAATTCGTATCTCTCTAGAAAGTCCATCCCCAGTATTGCCAGATCTAAGTCGGCTACCGTGAAAACCCAAGGGAATTGCCTTCTGAACCCCAAATCTAGGGTTAACGTTTTCTGCCCAAATGTCGCGATTGTAGTTTTATTTGCAGCTTGAAGTGTAATCGGGGATGTTTCTCGACTAATCTCAGTTTTATTTCGAGGGATGATGCTAAGAGCAGCGCCAGTGTCCACCAAGAAATTCAAGCCCGAGTTTCTGTCTCTGACATAAAACAAGCGACTGTTTAGGCGCCCCTCCTCAGTTGTCGCGACCTGGGGAGGGGTTACTCGTTTCCCGCTGTCTTGGAATTATGCTTAGGCCAGGCGCATGGTTGCCTGCACTTGGTTGAGTTGACACCAAACTTCCAGTGGTACCAACAAAACTGCCCAGATTGTCTGGACATTTGTGACCTATTTTGTGACTTGGATCGTGATCGTTGTGGTGACCTGTTCCTGTTTGTATGACCCATTTGCATTCTGGTGACAGCCTCAGTGAGACTCTTAACACTCGCAATGAGTCCTTCTATGACGGGGTCTTTTGCTGATTCTACTTTCTGTGTGTGATTTATTGTGCCTGATCCAGTTGGAGGACCTCTTTCCATTATTCTATCAGCTATACGCGCTAAATGAGATAATGAGGTTTCAGGATCTTGTGCATCCAAACAATGTTGGACGTAGCATGGGAGAGCTTGTATCCATCCTTGTTTTAGGACTGCTTCACCCACTGTGTTATCACCCACTAAGACTTGGAGGTGACGTAGAAACTGTGACGGCGACCGATCACCTAGTGTTTCACCTTGAAAAAGTCTTTGGATTCTTTGACTATCTGATAATGATAAACGGTTCATTATCTCTCGTCTTAAGACGGTGTACGGTTGTGGTGATGGTGGATCTAAAATCAAGTCACGGACTTCTTTGGCGACTGAAGGAGGAAGGATAGAACACAAATCTCTATAGCGAATCCCTTCAGATTTGATATTGTGTCTCGTGAAATAATGCTCGAGTTGAGCAAACCACAACTCAGGATCACTACGATCAAATTCTGGAAGTCGAGATTTCGTAGTCATAACAGTGTCTATCTCCACTGGTGACAAATCCTCCAGATTATGGGTTTCTTTTAAGTCTGACATGAGGTATGTGACAAATATAGCAACAAAATTAGCACGAAAAAAAAATGGTTTCTATGACACGAATAACTTAAGATAATAAAAAAAATAAACTATTTATATACCCAACTTAGTTTACGGATTATCAGGTCTACTTTTACGATTGAGTAAAAAAAATAATATTAATAACAAAAATGAGGTTAATTTGTGTTCGAAAAGGGCTCACCAGTTTCGTGCCTATAGGTAACCCTCGTGTTATTGATAGAAGAAGTCAGACACTAATTGAATGAAATCTTCATTTCGATCTTAGCGCAGTCACAGTGGAGCGTGGGATTATCTGTTCAGACAAACAAAGGCTTTCAGCATTCAATATAAGATAATAAGGAATATAACGCTTATACAAAATAAGGAAGTGAATGAATACTTGAACAATACTGTTTTGGCATATGCTTGGTTGTTTGGGGTCAACTATTAACCAACCAACCTATGCTGTTACACATTCATAGAGATCAAAACGGCTCCTGTGCATGCCACTCTTTTCGCCCATCCCGATCCATCAGTCACGCTTAGTATAGCGGTTGATGCATCCGATGTTGCTATTGGAGCAGTCATGCAACAAAACATCTCCGGTAGTTGGCAATCCCTCGAGTTTTTCTCACGACACCTTACTCCCATGGAGACGAGATATAGCGCTTTTGGTTGTGAGCTGCTAGCAGCCTACTGCAACATCAAACACTTTCGGCACGCAGTAGAAGGACGTCAATTCATCTTATTCACCGACCATAAGCCTTTAACGTATGCTTTGCATATCAAGTCTGACTGCTACTCACCACGAGAGTGCAGACATTTGAACTATATCTCCCAGTTCACGACAGACCTTCGTCACATCAAAGGTAAGTCGAACTGTGATGCCGATACTCTATCACGAATCCAAACGAATGCAGTTACTCTGCCGGTGCTCGATCTTCCTGCTATGGCTGCCGCCCAAGCAAACGATCCCAGTTGTACAAAAGCACTACACTCTACGTCCCTTCAGTATCAGGAAGTACCTCTAGCCACGACTTCTGGAACCATCCTATGCGATACTTCTACCGGTCTTCCTCGACCCATCGTACCCTCTACTTATCGCCGTCTCGTCTCCGATGCCCTGCATGGATTATCTCACCCAGGTATCGCAGCCACATTACGTCTCATCGCTGCACGATACGTCTGGCTGTCCATGAATAAAGATGTTCGTATGTGAGAGAAGCAATGCTTACAGTGTCAACGATCTAAAGTGCACAGGCACGTAGCCGCCACCTTTGGTACATTCGCTACGCCTGATGCTCGCTTCGATCACGTTCACTTAGATATTGTGGGACCATTGTCACCATCGCATGGGTATGATCAAACACTAACGTGCATCGACCATTTCATCGGATGGCTCGAAGCTATACCCATCACGTCTATCACGGCGGAGACAGTTGCTCACCGCTTCGCAGAACGCTGGATAGATCTATATGGCTTTGCCTCGACGGTTAAGATTGATCTAGGACAACGATTTGAGTCCGCATTATTCTCTTCACTTACTCGGCTGCTTGGTAAGGAACGCATACGCACTACCGCCTACCATCCAGCTTCTAATGGTTTAGTTGAAAGGTTTCACAGCCAACTAAAAATTGTTCTTCAAGCACGCGAAAACGAAACTTCGTACGAAACCTTACCGTTCGTCCTCTTAGGTATTCGAACGAGCTTGAAGGCAGATATCCAATGTTCCGCAGCTGAACTCGTATATGGCACGACATTGCGTCTGCCCGAGGAATTCTTCACACCACGGAGCAGACCTGATTTCGGCAAATCAGATAACGTCCAACGACTGTATGCATTTATGCGAACGCTGCCTCCGGTGTCAACTCGAATACAACATCGACAGGCTGCTCTCCCTCGAGAGTTATCTGCCTGTTCACATGTTTTCATACGAGTAGATTCGGTACGCAAACCTTTGCAACAGCCTTACGAAGGCTCTTTTCACGTGATCGCTCGTCACGAAAAGACATTCGAGGTTGATCGACATGGCTGCGTTGAAGTCGCCAGCATTTTTTTTTTTTTTATTATTATTAATGGCTTTATTCAATATTATATTTTTGGTACAATATAGAATTCTCAGCACAGGGTATTTCAACAAGTTACTTACTGAAAAAAAAAAAACGAACAAATAGGCAGTAGAAAATACAAAAAGAAATTTTTAAAAAAAAAGACCAAAAAACTGTGCAAACTTTTTAAAATTAAAGACATGTTAAGAATGTAAGTTATTAACTAGGTTATTTCTAACAACCTGTTCGTCACATAGTATATTTGCTAGGTAAGGAATTATAGAACTTTTATACTTTTCCTTACGTGCATGGATTTTAATGTAATTACGTCTCGTTCTACCAGAAGATATACAAGGAGAAAGATAAGAGTGAAGGGGATGGCTAGTATCTGATAAAATAACACCTGCCAGGAGTTTGCATGATTTTAAATGTCTATCCACAACCATATTAATTATGGCCTCGAAAGATTCACCACACATCTTGCTAACTGCCTTCAGCACTCTTCGCAATACAGCAAAGTCTTTTCTCAAAAGCCCGGGAAAGAATAATGGAGAACAGTAAAGAATAATAGGTAAAATGCAAGAATTGACAAATTTTAAGAGTAAATGACGAGTAATCCCAAGAGCATGCAATCTCTTTATGTAGTAGGTCAGACGGAAAACCTTCTTCGATAACGATAAAACGTGGGAAGACCAAGACAGATCAGAGGAAAAGGTGACACCAAGATAATTGACCTTCGACACTGAGTTTATGAAAGAGTCTCCGATGGCACAAGCATTATGGGATCTCAAAATGGTGTTTATATTCCGTTCATGTCTCATGCTAAAGTTAACAGCTTGACATTTAGACGGATTAAGTATGAGACCATTACCAACAGACCAACAATCAATATGAGACAAAAACTCATTCATTTCTACGGGATGTAAAGAGGAAGATATAGGCATACATACAGTGAGATCATCCGCATACTTCACAAAAGTGTTTTCTGTGGAAGATGGCAGGTCATGCAGAAAAAAAGAGAATAGAAGAGGTGAAAGAACAGCTCCTTGTGGTACACCTTCATGAGACAGTAGAGACTCCGAACACTTTCCTCCAAACACAGTGTACTGTTCCCTTCCAGAGAGGTAGGAACATAGCCAGTTGGTTATCCAGCTGTCAGTGTTGACGCTGATTAACTTGTTAAGTAAACGTTGTCTTGGTATAGAGTCAAAAGCTGAAGTATAGTCCAGAAAAGCACAACGAACATACTTCTTACCCTTTTCTAAGTTGAACACTATGTTGTGGTGCAGAACTGCAACAGCATCTAAAGTGCTTCTTTTGCGCCTGTATGCAAACTGGTATGGGTCAGTATGCTCTTTTATCGCAAGTTGAAGTGGAAGTATTAATAATTTTTCCATGGTTTTGAGGAAGGGTGAAGTTATTGCAATAGGTCTAAATTTTACATTCTTATCACCAGATGCTTTCTTGGGTACAGGAATTATCTTCATCTTTCTCCACATTTTCGGTATGAGATTAGATGAGAAGGATCTGTTAAATATAGTTGTGAACGGATGACACAGAACGTCAGCACATTTTTTAAAAAGGATGTTTGGGATACCATCAGGTCCCAAACATCGAGATGAATTAAGCGATCGGAGACATCCTCGTACATCAGTTTCAGTGAAAGTAGGAACACAGCTACTTTTTAAACCCGTGGATAGAGGGAGCATCACATCAGATGACTGACGAACAAAAGACTTATTTAAGTCACTAACATTCAGCTGGTTATCGCTTCTAAACTGTCTGTCGCCTGTAAGTTCTTTAAAGAGTTTCCACATACTTGGAGTGTTTCTGCAAGATAAGAGCTTTTGAGTAAACATGCAGTTGAGACGTCTGATCTCTAGCTTTATCAGACCATTTAGCTTACGAACTTCATTAGAGTTCTTCTCCTTGTACATTGATCGTCTCAAACCAGCACACGTCGATGACAGTGCCCTATCTGGTAACTTGAGATTCAATGCTAGACCTATACAACCTACTAGCGGGATCCTTAAATCTTCTTTAGATCCCACGCTAGATACATCTGAGGCCTCATTCTCACGTCCCAGTCAACAGCACGCATCGTCTGCACCATCTACGGACGAAACGACAGTCTCACGTCCGGATCAGCACACCATGCCGCCCTTGACTTCGGATGAGATTGCAGGCTCACGCGATACGAACGAGACTACCGTCTCACGTTCCGGTCGCCGAGTACGTTTTCCCGTACGCTTCCGCGACTAGCCGCACAGTTAACAACCGATACGGTGTAGGACTATTCCTATACTACATGCACGCTACATTCCTCTCGTTTTTTGATTTTTTTGTATCCTGAGCCGACGCCTCCGACCATCTCCGTTTGGTACCGTCGACTTCAGTCAACTTTGGTGAAAGCTGGACTGGCCACCCACACCCTTGTCAACGCACTCAGTCGATATTTTGGTTTAGAATGCTTGGTATACGCTTGGTCTAGAACTTGTTCGTTATGGTCGCTTCTGGTTCCTCGGCTCGACGTGGTTTCGTCCTACATCTGCAGCGTTTCTGGTCCGCATCACTGAGAACGCAATCTTCAGTTTCTGGATAAAAACCACTCTGGTGTAGTATGCCAACTCAATCAACAAATACAGCACACCGCCCCTGGTACCGTTCTCCGAAAAAGAACTTCGTTGGCAACTCAACGATCGCTTTCCTGTTCCACCGATTCTTCCGTCTTACAATCGCTCTTCAGCCGATCAGCCCCACGATTCAAGCCGCTATTTATCGAAAGTGTAAACCCTTTCTAGCGGAGGGCTCCAGTAGTGACTCACTTTCATCACGAGAACATGACGGGTTTAATCAAAACAGTTATTATTATACCCAACTCTACCAGTGCTTGTTTTAACCTGTTTTTTTAATTGTGCTAAAAACAGCCATTTTATGTTTGCATGACTTTCCATCATTGTTCCGCTGTTTTTGGCTTTGTTCGCATGTACTCCATTTTCCTGCTCTCTCTTGTACCATTTCTTTTCACGATCTTGGTATTCGTTCGATACTATGAGATCGCCAACGAAATAAATCTTTTTACGTTTAACCTTTGCTTTGTGATTTCTTTGGCCGTGTTTCTTGTTAGCGGTGTTCATAGTCAATTGGGAGTCGACGCCACGCTACAAGAGCATGATTGTACATAAGGATTGTTGAGGTGGCAAAGTAATCGAAAAGTGTGGGTCATATCATCACAAATGAAGAACGCATCATCAACATATCTAGAGTAGTATGTTGTGTTTTAAATTTCATGTTTTAGTTTTGTTTGTTGTAGATTAGCCATTAAGATATCGTCTAAAGTAGACTCTAATGGTAATCTCATGGCCACTCGATCGGTTGGTTTGTATAGTTAATAGTTGAGTTAAAAATGAACCTCATTGTTAATAATTTTCTCAACTCATTTTGAGACAAAAAGGTAATCCAGATTGTTGGCAAATGGTATAGCCATAAATAATGAATACATAATAAAAGATACCATGAATTTATTTGATAATTTATATTATTAATGGAATTTTAGGTTGTATGCAGCTGATGAGAAACCATAAAGTGGAGTGTTGAATTCATTTTATTTTGCAAACCTTACTCCGTTCAAAAAATAAATGTCAACCTAATAAATGAAATGTGTTGTCCAACCTGCGTTCAATGTGTTTCACTGATTCCAAGCAACTTCACGTTGTAACTTTTCATTTTTGCAGCATTTTGGCTGACTCTTCAGGTCTCCCACATTTTACGAACATTCTATGCACCTGAATTATTGATTGGTCTGGTTGTCAGAAGAGGCACCAACTTTGTGACTTCCGAAGGAACTCGGATTTCAACATGAAGCGTTATATTTCTTCTAAATGAAGACCTTTTAAATATCAGGGCAGTTTAAATGATTTGAATTATTATTTCTGGTCAGTATTGTTTTAGCGATTTGGTTTTCTACGGAATAAGGTCGCTAACCCCATACCCAACCCTCCTTTTTTATCAGGGCTTGAGAACTGTAGTACCCCCAGAGGTGCTCCGCACGGAGTTATTAAATGAGATATGAGTAAATATTACTATTAAAACAAGGACTACTTGTAAACAAGTTGATTTATAGAGTCAGTTACTAATGCAGCTATGAAATGCAGATATTTACTCAGGATAAGATCACTTAAACAAAGGCAACATCATGAGTTTACATGGAATATTACTTATGAATAATTCATTATTCTACAAAATTAAATAGAGATGTAAAGACCTTTATTTCTCTATTAATTTGTTATCATGCTCTCTTCGTTTCTTCAATATATTTATGGTAAGCGTTCGCACACAAAACTGATAGGTCCCGGGTTCGAACCCCGCGAGGCGAAATCGTGGAGGTGCACTTTTGAGGAGTCCAACAGTAATACAAAACAACCATCCAGTGCTTCCAAGTTTTCCATGTTGGTCTAGTTTTGAATTGACTCACGAAGTTAATTATTAAATTACTAAGATCTTCACCAAACTCCCTTTTGATAATTGTTAGGCCCCGATAAGCATAATGAATGATAACTTTTGGGATCCATTTATGGACCAATACTAAACGTATATTTTTATCGTATAATTGTTAAGTAACTAAACTATTCATGTTCGTGTTCCTCATATTATGAGCATTATTTTGGCTTATGAACTATCATTACATAATTTACCATTCTTGAATTATGCTCTGTCTATTAATTACAGTCTCTCGCATTCACAGCCACTTTTGGCTAATTCTTGTACAAAGGTTATTTTCCATTTTATGGTACTATGTGGTCTGCCTGGTTGGTATATAAACCCAGTATGTTTGAAATACATGATTCATATCATGGAAGCTGAGATTGGTGTTCTGGACTCTAACAAGCAGTGCTAGACGAATAGCAAGACTGATAAAGACTCTATACAGCTCGTACTTGTTTTATGTGTCATTGATCCGTTCAATAATTCCCTACTCCCTTGTTAACGGTATCGTTACTTTATACAATAAACAGGGCATACAGGTCACAAGTGATAATAATATTATCTAATTTTTCATTTCAAAATATACATTCATTTTGTCTAACAAATCCTCGTCGATTATACACTGATCAATCATATAAATCATTTTAATCTTACACATATGATTAATATGAATGTGTTACCAAAGAAATACAAAAACAAATCATCATCATCATCATTAAACTTTTTATTATATCATAAAACAAACTTTCTCTACATAGATGTTACGTTTAAAAAAACAACAACCAACTAGAAAAGGAAACGTAACAAAACATTTCAAATGGAGTATAATTGTACATGTAACATCTTTGGTACAATCAATAATCAATGAAACTATAATTTATGAACAATTATTAGATAATGCTAAACTAACGTTGAGAAAGGTTTCACCAAATGATGGTTATAAATTCATGTGAACAATTCGAATTCGGATTTACATTTTGATAGTTAAGATTAAGAATTAACTAATATCAGCTATAATGATGTCAAAACTTTATTTCGTCAAATGGATAAGTGAATAATTTCACGCTATAATCTAAAATCTTTTATCTTATACCTGATTAGTTCGTTCATAAATGATAGTCTCACTTCACTAATCTACTGGCGGCCTGCTTAAATATCTGGGCTACCTGTTCCTTCGATCTACATATTTCTTCAAGTTATCTGTTTTGTTGTTTGTTTTAGCACATCATTATGTCTATTGTGCTCACAATCTATTCAAGCGCGTTTACAAAAAGTTTACAACCTTTCGCTATATGGGATACAAAAAGGTACAATCAACGACATCATGGTGGCTGGCAATATGCATTGAAACGAACGAACATTAATCAAATGTGGATTACCGAACTCCTAACATCTAATCGGTTATCATTCAAAATTTATTGTCACAATAGATCAAGGTATAAGAAAAGGAAACTTGTTGAAATACTTTATGCTGAGAATTCTATGTTGTACCAAAAATATAATGTTGAATAAAGCTTCTAATAATATGATATAATAATATAAGTATCATTTAAGTAGTATATAAAAACATGAATACAAAATGAATTCTATATAAAAAAAAACAATCATTTATATATATATATATAATGTATTTAATAAACAAATTACAACTGTACTATTCTATGTACAGATCAAGTTTAATATAAATAAAATAAAACAATTGAATATGATCATATTATATTGAATTGTTTTTGTATCTGATCTAAATTCAATTCACATTCATTAATTTTTTCAATAAAATAATTTCTATTTTTAATTATATTTAATAAATCTGCTTGTACATAATAAATATTTTCCCATTTCATAGCTTCTTTATTATCAAGATGATAATATTGATTAGATTCTGATGAAGTTATGTCATCATTATTACCATTACTATTATTACTACTACTACTACTACTAGTAGTAGTAGTAGTATTAAGTTGATATAAATCAATGACATTAGAACCATCTTCTTCAAATCGTATATTATCATCAAATAATATATGTTGAATATGTGGATCATATGGATTAAACCATAAAGGTTTCGATGATTTATAATGATAATTATGTAATTTCCAATAACTAAAATCATCTATTACATGTAATACACCAATTTGTTTTGACCATATATTATAAATTTCATTAGGATTATTTGATATATTAATAAATTGTTTATCAGAATCTAATGAATCTTTATGTGAAATTTCTTTTATAAATTGAAATAATGGTTCATGATCAGAACGTTTTAAATACCATTTAGTATAATCAATTGGTATATATTGTATAGCATTGAATGGTGCTTTCTCTTGTGAATGTTTACCATGAATATAAGCTTCAATAGCTGATAAAATATGTTCACCATCTTTACCATAGGTACGTATAAATATAGCAAATTGACGATTTGTTTCAATAAGCCATGTTAATAAACGATAAAAAGCTGGCATTAAATAATGATAATAATGATTATCCTCATTCTCATTTATATTATTATTATTATTATTGTTGTTGTTGCCATGGTGATTATTAATTTTCCCACTATTTACACATAAACAATATGGTGAATTAATGGATTCAATTGGTGTTAATTTTAACATTTCTAAATATTCATTAAATAAATTACGATATGGTAAACCTTCTGGTGTTTGTGTAAAATTACCTAAATATTTTCTTATTCTACCTCTATCTGATGTTATTTTAACAATTTGTTTCTCTAATAATTTATAGATACTTATTGCATTTGGTTGAGGTTGTTTTATACATAATGGTATTGGTAAACGATTCCAACATGCTAATGTTGATTTAAAATTAGCTAATTCATTTGATGTTAAATTTTCAAAATTTTCACCTTCATATGGTTGACGAGTATCCATTGAAGTTGTGATTGTTGTCGTTGTGGGGGTGGTTATTGTTGTTTTACAAGAGTTAACTTCATGATCTAATTCGTTTTTAAAATAAAAAAGAAAAAAAATATTGATTAAAGAAATGGAAATGGATTGTGAATGTGCACTGTTGACGAATCTCATATTGGGACGAAACAGCCGTCCAATATTTACAGGTTTTCAATGGTGGTCTAACATCAGTCGGTTGGTGATCTCAATAAAAAAAAACTTAATAATCTCCACAACCTCTGTACTGATAATATTTGTCAGTAAAAAAATATTGATTTTGTGTTATAAACTATGGGTAAGTGCCCCAATCAATCTTTAGCGTAATAATACCGCCAATTAGGTAACAGTGAATTATTGACCGAACCAATGGCACATAAAACAAGTACGAGCTGTATAGAGTCTTTATCGGTCCTGCTATTCGTCTAGCACTGCTTGTTAGAGTTCAGAACACCAATCTCAGCTTTCATGATATGAATCATGCATTTCAAACATACTGAATTTATATATCAACCAAAACAGACCACATAGTAGCATAAAGTAGGAAACAACATTTGTACAAGAATTAGCCAGAAGTGGCTGTGAATATGAGAGGTAGTAATTGATATTTTGAAATACTAACTTTGATCGATTGCAGTCCTAAATAACAATTGAAAGATACAAGTAAGAAAAATACACCAAGTGCATTTAAAATTCACCCCATTACACAAACAAGTGACTGGCAGGACTCGGTAGCTAACTGGATAATGTGATAGCGTTTGAAGCGAACAGTACTGGGTTCTAGTCCCAAAGTGAGTATAAACTCTGAGATGCAGGTACATTCAGCTGACGAGTCTTAAATAAGACGAAACGCGCGCATTAGATTCTATTGCTAGCCACTATCTATCTTTGCTTATGAAACAACTGTTTACTGAAAAATTTGTCTTTAATGGCAACGGTTCAATTTTATTAGTGTAAAATGTAATTCTTAAAAAGTAAATGAATATCTAGTTACTTATTATAGAATGTGAATCTAATTATAAACGTAGTACTCGAATTTCTTGATTAAGTATTGAATCAACTATATATACAACAATTATGATATAGATTCACAAAAGCCATATTCTTAACCTTATTCAGAATATTAATTAAAGTCTGTCATCTACGATTACGATGCCAAGTGATTTGTACCACAAAATCAAAATTAATAGGTGAACTGATCAAAGTCTACCTCTCTTTGTAATGCTAAGAATAATTTTTCTGAGACTAACTCACATAGTGTATAATCTCAGTCTGAATATTGTATGCATCAATCATTAATAAATGTAACTTCATCATAACAGATTACAATGAACACATTGATATTTTATTTACAAACAAATATGGAGCTGCACATAACAAAATGACCCTAAAGAACTTAAAATAACATTGACTTGTCATTTGAACACTTCCCTTGAAATATTATTTTAATAATCAGAGGGGAATTTTTGAATATGATAGTAATTTTAATAGTTGAATTCATGATTCAATTGAAGATAAACTACCATTGAAAACCTGGAAGCACTGGACGGTCGTTTAATTTTAATGTGGGACGTCTTAGAAGTGAACATCCACGATTCCGCCTGGCAAGTTCGACCGGGTCTCTTGTAAGATAGTAACTCAATGAAGATAATGATGAACGGTGGATGACTTTCGTGGATCGGTTGAAATTAGATACTAACACCGTTGAATACCGGCTCAGTGGTCTTGAGGTTAAGCGTTCGCGCGTGATACCGATACTAAGACGAAACGTCCATCCAATTCTTTCGGGTCTTCAATGGTAATATAACTTCAATTGACTCATGAATTCAACTATTAAAATTATTTTAATAATTTGAAGCAGTTTGTAGAAATTGGACGAATAAATTAAAAAGAAAGATAATTATTTCATTTTTGTGCAGCTTATACTTAATTATACATAAGTAGTAAGTCAATCATTATATAAATTTTCAACGTCTATGTCTCACCCATATACGTATATCGTGGATGTGCACTGCCGAAGTCTCATATTAGGGCGAAACGGCCGTTCAGTGCTTCCAGGTTTTCAATGGTGGTCTAACATCAATCGGTTCATGATATCTATCAAAAACTTAATAATTTCCATAACCTTATACTAATATGTATGCAATGAATACTCATGAAACTTAATGATTTCACCTTATAGTACAGTTTTTAGTAATGAGTACACAATACACCACGAGATAAGTACGTATTCATGTATCTATATACTTTAATACATATATCTTTATGTAGATATGATTAGTATATTCGGTATGTTTGTTTTAAAAGTAACATATTCCATGTAAATGATAAAGAAAGTAACAATACTTCACCTACACAGAATTCCATCCTAATCAAAGTAAACATATTTTTCTTGATATTATGTATCATTAATTAACTAAGCAAATATAAAATGAGTATGACCTTCTTCACTATTGTATGCAGAGTGTAAATGATAAGTCATATTGCATTACTTATTCATGTGCGTGTGTGAGAGAGTGCTTATCTTGTTTAATGCAAATAGGTTAATGAGTAAAAGAGTGGTTAATTAAAATATTTATCCAAGATTAAGATACATAAAGAATATTTTCATATAGTAGAATGTACATCATTCTAGCCTGAAATTCTTCTTCGTTCTATTCAATCTTCTGTTGTTGTTGTTGTTGATTAGTTTTAATTATCATGATAGTTTTTAATATTAGTTCATTGGAAGAAAACTAGTTTTGCATAATATATTCTTGTTAGATGTTACACCGTCTTGAAGTCTAAGACAATACTAATATGTAACTTAGACCTCTTTTGTAATCATACAGTATTAAGGTATCTACAAATGATTAATTACTAAGTAATGGGTGATATTTTGTTTAAAATAATTAGTCCCTTTGATAAATTTCGTTAATGTAATATGAGAAGATGAAGATCACGAGAAATATGTGATGTTTCACTGGTTGAAATCATGAGTCAATTAAAGCTAAACCACCATGGAAAACTTGGAAGCACTAGACGGCCGTTTCGCCCTAGTATGGGATTCCTCAGTAGTGCGCATCCAAGATCCCAGCCCCCGCGAGACTCGAACCCAGGACTTATCAGTCTCGCGCCAGGCGCTTAAACAACTAGACCAATGAGCCGGCATCCGACGGTGTCAATGTCTAACTTCAACCAATTCACGAGGTTGCGCCACCATACACCATATATATATATATATATATATATATATATATATATATATATATATATATATATATATATATATATATATATATATATATATATTAGTGGAACACATTTCGAACTACAAAGGCGTATACTAAGGTTTATTGAAACCTTAGTCATATGAAAAATCAAACCCCGTTTGTGTATTCAAAAAAAGTTTGTTCTCACCTTAAATTTACCTCGGTAATATTAGCTTATTATTATTCAGAGTGATGAAGTTTCATATTGTTTTCACATTATCAGTATGGAATTATGAACATTATTAAATTTTTGATTAAGATCATGAATCGATTATTGTTAGATCATCATTGAAAATCTGAAAGCGTTGGTTGTTCAACACTTCCTATTGTAAGACTCATCAGAAAAGCGCATCTACGATTCCACTCGCAGATTTCGAACCCAGGGCCTTCATATTATTTCTTTACTATTCTTATCTTGTTTTACCCTCCATTTCCAGTCTAGTCGATCTTTTATTTTTTATATATAAATGTTCTTAATTAGTATATGTGTACATTACCACCATTGAATTAACTATTCCTATGAATTTGATGTTGATCTAGTTGTACTAATGAGGTATGACAAATTGAACCTATGTACATATGTGCCTGGTCCTACGTTGTAGATAACTGACTGATATATGTGATCAGATTGTTCGAAATGTATTACACCACTATATTATCATATAGTTTTGATAAAGTTCGTCTTCTTATTATTACATTATCGAAATATTTTGTTTATTCAATTCTGAATGTGGATCAAGTAATTCTGAACACCTAATATCAACAAATTCTTCACACAATGTCAAGTCAATTAATCGACAGGAATAGACAAGAATTAAGAAGTAAATAAACTTGACGTTGAGAATTACTCTCAATGATTGGTGGGAGAGAACAAACTAAGTTCCAGCAGAAGAGTAAATTAGGAAAAGACGTCGGAAGTGGATAGGACGTATATTGACGAAATCATCAAACGACATCAAGAGTCAAGCACTGCCTTGTGGTCCTAAAGGGAAACAAAAAAAGGCAAGGCCAAAGAACACACTGAGTTGGGAAGTGGAAACAGACATTGGAAGAATGAAAAGCAACTGGAAAGAACTGGAAAGCATTGCCTAGGATAGAATCGGATGGAGAATGTTGGTGGGCGACCTATGCTCCTTCACGAGGGGTAACAGGGGTAAGTAAGTAGGTGAAGTATTAGTTATATTTAAAGGATTTAATCTCGATTATTTTTTAACTGACACTGCTATCTGATCTAGTGTAAATGATATACGATTTTGACTTCGTAGTGGCATATAATCTGTATTGTCTGTCTGATTAATCCAGTTATATATTAGAAGTGCTATGCGACAATACATTAGTTAAAGTGAAGGTGTACAATTATCTCTTTATTATTATTTCGAATTGTAAACAAGGTCACTCAGTTGAAACATTCTTCTTGAATTTGATTGATGATAATGTTCTAGGAAAATCTATGAAAGAACTTTGTTTTACTGCGATGATATATAACTTGTTTGAATAGATACTTTTACGGCGGAATTTCGTACTCTGAACCAAATGGTTTGGTCATAGAGCTTTCATTATTCTGCTTCCAAACAACATCATCAGCACAAACTTCAGGTAGAAGTGAAGTGTTCGAATTTCTTCTCATTAGACTTACAGATTTTTCTGTTAACTAGCTATTCATCCATCAGTTAGAAAAATCACGAATAAATATAAGACCAAGAATTGATTCAATGGGAAATAGTATCAAAATAAAGAGGCCGATAGTGAGAGGTTAACGGTCAACAATAACCAATCAAAAGTGAAGTTAACAGGACAAGCTATGAGTTATAACTGGAGAAATTTGATCACTTCACTTCTATATGAAGTTTATGCTGATGATGACCAAACCATTTATTTCAGAAAACAAACCTTCACCAAGATCATCTATCTGAGGTACAAATTATCTTCACTATCTCAAAATCATATGAGAACATTTGAATAGTATTTGTTCATTTGACGGACACTCTACTAAAATATATCACGTAGTTTGTGGTCACGACCTCACATTGAGATATTTGAACCCAGGACCTACTGGTCTCGCGTGCGAACGCTTAACCACTACACCGTTGACCCGGCGTCTAAAGGTGCTAATGTCTAACTTCAACTAATCCATGACATTGAGCGACATATCCAACATTGTCTTAAGTGAGTTATTATCTTACAACAGACTCGGTTGAACTCCACCGCTCACTGCTTCTCACTAGAACTCCAGGAAATACCTCTTGAAGTCAGTCACTAGTGAGTATATGTTGATTCATATCAGAAGGGTTCTCTGTGGATATTATAGTAATTTCAATGGGTGAGATCATGAATCAATTGAAGCTAAAGTTTCGACCGAAGCTGCTACCTTGACACGGTGGTCGGGCTTGCTTATCGTAATGACCCAACCGAGCTATACTGGCTGGAACATATGTTCCTGTAGGTTCTACCGTGCCAAGCAGGTCGATTGGTGAACGGTAAGACTAAAAGCAGCAACTCAAGGTCTGAGGGCGAAGTCGTACTGCTGACTGTAGAGAGGTGTGACGGCAGTAAGCTGTATCCCTCAGACAACCAGCATGACAGCGATGCTGCCTTCCCACAAGGAGGGGTGGAATTAGAAAAGGTCGACCCTAAAAATGTCACACCTCACCTTACCTCACGGATTTCCGTCTCCGGCGGTAAGGCCCTTTGAAGAACAGAGCTAACACGTCAAAAACCTTCTACAAAAAGGCCGTGCGCGACCGGCCTCAAGCAGTTGTCCCTTGGGCTCTGCGGTCACGCTCCCAGGTCGTCAAGACCAACACTAATCCAATTTCCTTTTCAGGTTCCTCAAGAAATACCCTTCCACGGTGTGGGCAGCCGGGAAGTGAAACCAGCCCTCATACCCGTAACAGCACACGAGACCAAGTTGGTCACACTCAAATCCTTCCTACACCTCCTAATACCTCTCTTATCTCCAAGACTAACCCTCCTCACGTCTCTTTATCACCTCGCACCGCTAGGGCAAACGATTCGAGTACGTGGAACTCTATTCCTGGTCTACTGAAACCACGCTCTAAACTACACGTAGGAGCTTTTAACGTCCGAACACTGTGCCAAATAGGACAGCAGGCTTCCTTAGCTAGGACTTTAGAATCCCGCGCCATCGATGTGTGCTGCGTCTCCGAAACGCGCACACAAGATCCGAGTAGCGTCGTCATTCATTTGACCTCACCATGCCAAAATAAAGAACCGACTCGATTCACACTTCGTGTATCTGGAAGCCCTGATTCTGCTTCACGTGGCCTCGCCGGCGTATGCATATCATTGAGTCCTAGGGCAGAACTAGCTCTCTTAGAGTGGATTCTAGTAGACAGTCGTTTGTGCGCTGTCCGACTGAACAGAACAGTAAGAATCCGGAAAGATAGGGAAACTCGTCGTTGCCTCTTCATCGTCTCTGCCTATTCTCCCACTGACTGCAGCTCAGATGATGTAAAAGATGAGTTTTACAGAAAGCTTTCCAACCTTCTTCGAAAAGCTAGGCGCTCAGATGTAGTAATAGTGGCCGGTGACTTTAATGCTCAAGTAGGTAAACTAAGCGATAGGGAAAGACACCTGGGTGGATCTTATAGCATCATGGCTCAAAGAGCAGATAATGGCGACCGTCTGTTGCAGCTATGCTCGGATAACGGCCTCTTTCTTGCAAATACTAACTTTAAGCATAAGGAAAAACATCTTTTAACATGGCGACCCCCTAATTCGTCCCAACGTTGGACCCAAATAGATCACATCGCTATCAACCACCGATGGAGGGGCTCGATAGAAGACTGTCGCTCATTCTGGAGCACATGATTAGATATAGATCATGCTCTAGTGCGAGCGCGTATCTGCATGCGTCTTACTGGACGTAGGAAAGACGCTGCAAGGAAATCTCTTAGGGGCCTACTTAATGATAGTCAAGCTAAGAGTATATTTCAGGAACAACTAGGAAAGCAGTTAGACAGCCATGTATGTGATGCCCACCCCGATGCAGCATGGAATGATATCCGAAAAGCTGTGGAAACAGCAGTGATATCTGCTAGTAAGGTAAACCACAAGGTTAGGGAGCAACACTGGATCTCAGGAGCATCTATCGCACTGATAGATGCTCAGAAACTCATTCCACCTGGCTCTGAACATAGTGAAGAGCGGAGTCAGCTGAAGCGCAAGCTCACAAAAAGTCTACACAATGATCGCGAACAGTGGTGGGTAGCGAAAGCAAGAGAGATGGAGAAGGCAGAGGCAATAGGTAATAGCAGACAATTGTTCAGACTCGTTAAGGAAACCGGAATTAGGAACCCAACCGTTAGCGAAACAATCTCAGAGAAAGATGGACATATTATTCATTCTCAATCCAGGAGATTGAATCGATGGGCAGAACACTTCAGCGATCAGTTCAACTGGCCTTCAGCCACACTTCGGTTTCCCACGATCCACAATCAACCTGAATGGCAAGTTAATGTAAGTCCTCCGTCCCTTTACGAAGTTGAAAAAGCCATAGGAAATCTGAAACGAGGGAGAGTAGCAGGCCCTGACAGGTTTACTCCTGAGATTTTTAAGGATGGTGGTTCAGTATTAGCAATGAGATTAACCGAGGTCTTAGATAGAATTTGGGAACTGGACGTAATCTCATCTGACCGGTCTCAATCACTGATTGTGCCAGTCTATAAGAAGGGACAAAAGTCCTCTTGTACCAATCACAGAGGAATCAGTTTGACTAATAGTGTCTAAAATATTAGCCTCAATAATACTTCGATGCCTAATCAAAGCTCGTGAAGAGCAGACACACATCCAGACGCCCCACAATGGTAGTATTTCTCGATCTTAAGGCGGCATTCGACTCTGTTGACCGTGAGGTTCTATGGCAGTGTTTGTCACTGAAAGGAGTACCAAAGAAGTACATTAACCTTATAAAGGCTCTCTACTCGAACACAACTGGTAGAGTGAGAGCTTATGGCGAACTGTCATCAGAATTGATTACCTCAAGTGGTGTTCGTCAGGGCTGTCCACTCTCCCTATTCTTGTTCAACTTTGTGGTCGACGTACTTTTAGAGATAACACTCTCCTCATCTAAATTTCCAGGGGTTAAACTTCTACCGGGAGGTTCACTTTTTGACTTAGAATATGCCGATGACATAGTTTTATTTGGCGAAGACGCTGACAAAATGCGGAGTCTTCTGACCACTCTAAGCAACAATGCAAGCTTGTTCGGGATGCAATTCTCTCCCTCGAAATGCAAAATGTTGCTTCAGGATTGGGTTGCATTGACACCCGAACTAATGATAGGGAGTGAAGTAATTGGGCGTGTCGACTGTTTCACTTATCTTGGAAGTCTCATCAGCCCTTGTGGTCTGGTGTGTGACGAAATCTCAACACGGATACAGAAGGCTCGACTAGCTTTTGCCAACTTGTGTCGTTTATGGCGTAGGCGAGATATCCGTCTATCAACCAAAGGACGTGTTTACTGCGCAACAGTTCGTTCCGTCCTACTCTATGGCAGTGAAACATGGCCGGTAAGAGTAGAGGATATTCGTAGGTTACTAGTATTCGATCATAGGTGTCTTTGAAACATTGCTCCTATATCATGGGACCATCGAGTAAGTAGCACAGTTGTTAGGAAACGGGTAATAGGTAAGGATGGCAAATCAATTTATGAAGTAGTGAAACTTGATCAGTTGAGATGGCTGGGACACATGTTACGTATGCCCCACCAACGACTGCCTCGACGTGCAATGTTCAATGGTATAGAAGCAGGTTGGAAGAAAGCTAGGGGCGGCCAGACCAAAACATGGCACAAGTCCATGAAGTCACTGACAAGTGGTCTGCGTCATGTTGGTAGGTGTAGACTACCTGGTTGGGGACCGCGAGATGATAGCAACCGATGGTTAGAGACCCTGAATGACATGGCTCAAAATCGTTTGCAATGGCGCAGGTGCATCCACTCTTTGTGTTCTCCCAAATTCTAATCTTCCGAATTCTTCATGTTCCTTTTTTTCTCTTTCCAAATTTATTTCACTGAATTATACTCTTTAAATAACATCTCCAAACCCTAATCTTCCCGATCACTGCTTACACTCTTGCTACGTCTACCACTACGGGATTTGGATCGACAACTGCATCTCTGTGTTAAGGTGGTGTGGCAACTCGAACTGATGTACGTATGTACGAAGTTCTACGTTGTTACTGACTGACTGAAAGTCCCACAATAGGATGAAACGGCCGTCCAATGCTTCCAAGTTTTCCATGATGGTCTAGCTTCAATTCATTCATAATCTCAATCATTGAAATTACTATAATCTCCACAAAAACCCTTCTAATTTGTATTCGTTCAGTGTAAACCACTTGTAAAATACTGTTAGAAACTTGTAAATCCATGTAACCCTATATCTATGTTAGTGTGTATGGTGAAATAATGAACATACTAGATACAATAGTCTAATGAAAGACAAAATGGTGTATACCAATCTGACCTACAATTGAAGTCTTTGTTTATATATATTTATATGCAAGAAGTACAAAAAGTAAATGCCAATAATATGCATACCTCTTTATAGCAAAATATCTAGCAACACTAAGAATAATTGAATAAAAGTAAAGATATAACATTGAACATTTAGGTCTCATAGCTAATGTAATAGTAAATTCCAATTTCTTAGAAAAGAAAATATTTCTATGTTCCAGAGAGAGAGAGAGAGAAAGAAAGAAAGAAAGAGAACACACACACACACAAAAAATGTAACTTACTCTGATTTGGATTCATTTCGTTAAGAACTTGATACTTTACAGGTTTTATACTTTCACTTTGACTTTCATTTATTTCATTCGTATCAGTTGAATGATCTTGATTAGAATCCATTGATAAGATGGTTTCAGAATTGTTTTGTACATCATTACTTTCATTTTTTTCAGATTTTTCTTTTAATTGACCTATTAAAGAATAGATATAAAGATAAACTATAATTTTTTGGTGTCTGATAAGTCTTGAAAATTAAGCGCTATATTCGTTTCCTAAGGTATTCTGTAACCCTCAAAGTAGAATTATACAGCAACCTGAACACGAGAGAGAAGACCTAAAGTATGCGAGAAGTACTTTACTCTAAAGGTTCATTTTAATACAGAAAATATAGGGTTTTTATAATATTTTAAATGTCGTTAGGTTACTCGAAGATTCTGGAATGCTACTAAACATAATAGCAGTATAGCAATCAGCCAATCAGAACCTCTACATGTGACGTTTCACTTCCTTGATATTTCTGGCTAAAAATTCAAATGAACTCTAATAGGATGAAACGCTTCTTAGTGTTTCCTGATCCTTGCTTGTGGTTTGTGAGAAATTTTCTAGATCACCCCAACAGTGTCACCAAGGTGGTTTCTCATGATTAGTGAAAGAATTTTCAATGATCAAAATCAATCAGTGACATAATGATCTATAGATCAAAGCAATAATATGTTGTGGCTGAATGACAAATGCTCATGAAACTGTCTTATTGATGTTAGCCGTTGACTGATATAAAAAAGATAATAGAACCAAACTAGGTGAATAGGGTTATTCTCGGTATAATATATATATATATATATATATATATATATATATATATATATATATATATATATATATATATATATATATATATATATATATATATATATATATACAGATTATGGTCATCAGATAAACATGATAAAATGTCATGGTCATTTTTTAATCTATTGAGAACTGACTGTTAGTTCAAACCATCGGGTATTGTAATATGCGATAACTGAGCTTTCAGCGGATTCCCATGTTACTGATATCTGTGAGTGTTATATTTGAGTGAAGATTAAATCACGAGTAACTTCTGAGACTGATTGATGGACTAATACAATCTGTATATTCTTATGGTATAACTATTCAATAGTTAGATTATATTAATTTATATTCCTCTTATTATAAGCTTAATTTTGACCTATAATTTATTATTGTATGATTTACTGTTCTTAAGCTATTTTCAGTTTCTTGATTGCTGCCTCTAACGTTCAGAGCCACTTTTAGGCCTTATTGTGTACAAATGTTATTTCCTGTTTTATGGTGCGCGTCGTAGTAATCGGTGTTCAAGCACACGTAACACGTGGCTTAACTATCTCAGTCGATGATGATTCACAATCTCATCAACTGATTTACCATAATACCCTGCGTCTAACCTCACTATTACTTACCTGGTGAACCCAGTAGATGCGAGCTATATTTCTAAGGCATCCGTGGTCAAATACTATTAGTTTACGAGTATCTTCTACTCGTAATGGTCACGTTTCGTAACCGCAAAGTAGAACAGAACGAACTATCACAGAGTATATTCATCCCTTAATTTATACACGAATATCTTGCCTTTGCCATAGGTGACGTAAGTTGGCAATAGCGAAACGAGCTTTTGAATCCATACTGAAATTTTTCAGATGCAGGTAGATCCACCAGACGAATCTCAAATAGAAGGAAATCACATATTCACGATTCCAATGTTAACCACTATCCAATACAGTCAGTAACAGCGTAGAACTTCGAACGTACGTACATCAGTTCAAGTTGTCATACCACATTGGCAAAGAGATGCAGTTGTCGATTCGAATCCCATAGTGGTAGAGGTAGTAAGAGTATAAGCAGTAATCGGGAAGATTAGGGTTTGAAGATGTTATTCAAGGAGTATAATCCAAAGAGTTTAAATAATTTTTTCTGTTTAGCGTTTTTTTAGCGAGTTAGTTTTCTACGGGATGGGAACGCTAACCCCATGCTCAACCCTCCTCCATTATTTGGGCTTGGGACCGGCAGTAGCCCCTGGAGAGACTCCAGGCGGAGTTGCATCAACAAAACGTTCAGGAGGACTATAGAGGACGTGAGAACCAAGAGAGGAGCTGATATAGCATCAGATCATCACTTGCTGGTCGCCAAGATGAAATTGAAACTCAAGAAGCACTGGACAATGGGGCGGACAATATCACAAAAGTTCAATACGGCCTTTCTTCAGGATACTAACAAACTCAACAAATTCAAGATAGTCCTCAGCAACAAGTTCCAGGCCTTTCATGATCTACTCAATGGAGAAGGAACTACTGTGGAGAGCAACTGGGAGGGGATCAAAGAGGCAATCACTTCAACATGTCATGAGGTCCTGATTCACAAGAAACACCATCACAAGGAATGAATCACTGTTGATACACTGGATAAGATTCAAGAAAGGAGAAACAAGAAGGCAGCAATCAATACCAGTCGAACAAGAGCAGAAAAAGCCAAGGCATAAGCTGAATACACAGTAGTAAACAAACAAGTGAAGAAGAGCATCAGAACCGACAAACTTAAATATGTGGAAGATCTAGCAAAGACGGCGGAAAAGGCTGCATGAGAAGGAAACATGAGACAACAAGGCGAGGTAATCACCAACATTGAAGAGTAACAAAACAGGTGGGTAGAACACTTCAAAGAACTCTTGAATCGACCAGCTCCACTGAACCCACCCAACATCGAAGCAGCACCGACGGACCGTCCAATCAACGTTGGCCCACCAACAATTGAAGAAATCACCATGGCCATCAGACAAATCAAGAGTAGCAAAGCAGCACGATCAGACAACATTCCAGCAGAGGCAGACGTAGCGGCAACTGCAAGGATACTCCCCATTCTCTTCAATAAGATTCGGGATGAGGAACAAGTACCAAAAGACTGGAAAGAAGGACTCCTGATCAAAATACCGAAGAAAGGTGATCTCAGCAAGTGTGATAACTACAGGGGCATCACTTTTCTCTCAATACCGGGAAAAGTCTTCAACAGAGTATTGTTAAACAGGATGAAGGACTGCGTAGACGCCCAACTTCGTGACTAACAGGCAGGATTCCGTAAGGATAGATCGTGTACAGACCAAATCGCAACTCTACGGATCATTGTGGAACAATCAATTGAATGGAATTCATCACTCTACATCAACTTCATTGACTACGAAAAGGCATTTGATAGCGTGGACAGAACAACACTATAGAAACTTCTTCGACACTACGGCGTGCCTCAGAAGATAGTCAATATCATACAGAGTTCATATGATGGATTGCACTGCAAAATCGTGCATGGAGGACAGTTGACAAAGTCGTTCGAAGTGAAGACAGGTGTCAAGAAAGGTTGCTTACTCTCACTCTTTCTCTTTCTTTTGTTAATCGACTAGATCATGAAGGCGTCAACGTCTGAAGGGAAGCACGGGATAAAGTGGACAGCTAGGATGCAGTTGGACGATCTGGACTTCGCAGATGTTCTGGCCCTTCTATCGCAAACGCAACAACAAATACAGGAGAAGACGAACAGTGTAGCAGCAGCCTCAGCAGCAATGGGTCTTAATATACACAAAGGGAAGAGCAAGGTTCTCCGATACAACACAGCATGCACCAATCCAATCACAATTGACGGAGAAGATTTGGAAGATGTAAAAACTTTTACATATTTGGGCAGCATCATTGATGAAGAGGGTGGATCTGATGCAGATGTGAAGGCGCGGATCGGCAAAGCAAGAGCAGCATATTTACAACTGAGGAACATCTGTAACTCGAAACAAGTGTCAACCAACACTAAGGTCAGGATTTTCAATACAAATGTCAAGACAGTTCTAATGTATGGGGCGGAAACCTGGAGAGCTACGAAATCCATTATCCAGAAAATACAGGTGTTTATTAACAGTTGTCTACGCAAAATACTTCAGATCCGTTGGCCGGACAATATTAGCAACAACTGACTGTGGGAGAGAACAAACCAGATTCAAGCGGAGGAAGAAATCAGGAAGAAGCGCTGGAAGTGGATAGGACACACATTGAGGAAAGCATACAACTGCGTCACAAGACAAGCCCTCACATGGAATCCTCAAGGCCAAAGGAAAAGAGGAAGACCAAAGAACACATTACGCCGAGAAATGGAAATAGACATGAAAAAGATGAACAAGAATTGAATGGAACAAAAGAAAAGGAGTCCCAGGACAGAGTGGGTTGGAGAATGCTGGTCGGCGGACTATGCTCTATTGGGAGTAACAGGCGTAAGTAAGGAAGTAAGTAATAATCCAAAGAGATAATTTTGGAAAGAAAATAAAGGACATCGAGAATTCAGAAGATTAGAATTTAAAAGAACACAAAGAGTGGATGCATCTGTGTCATTGCAAACGATTTTGAGTCATGTCATTCAAGGTCTCTAATCATCGAGTGCTATCATCTCGCGGTCCCCAACCAGGTAGTTTACACCTACCAACATGACTCAGTCCACTTGTCAGTGACTTCATGGATTTGTGCCATGTTTTGATCTAGCCGCCTTTAGCTTTTTTCCAACCTACTCCTACACCACAAAACGTTGTACATCGGGGCAATCAGTGGTTGTATATGTGTAACACGTGTCACAGCAATCTCAACTGATGAAGTTTCGCAAAACAGTAAATACTTCATTTAAAAAATATCAATCCATCATCTCAAAATTGACTGTTCCTTTTTCAAATATCATTTCATGGTCTCGAATTTCATTTTTCCTACATTTTAATACCAACTATTTTACGTTCCCATTGTTTCCTTTTAGATCTACTGAAATACATTCTATTCCTGAACATCATTATATATACTACTTATGTGGATATAAGTAGCTCACACCACAATACTGGTGTATATAAATACTAGATGTTTATTAATATTTATAATAAAAAAAAACACACCTTTTCTAACCTTATTCATTTAACTAAGATGTTTGTCTTAAAATGTCATTACAAACCTTGTCACTGGGTGTTTTAAAAAAAATTTCACACGAATCTTCATTGTGTTTATTTAGAAAAAACTGAAAAAACAATCACTAAGGTGACCTAGAAAACTCTGGGTTTTTTGAAGAAAAAAAAGTCAACCTAATTAGTAATGGCTAGACATTGATTTGAAATTTTCATTCAAAA